AGACATTTACAATGCTGCCTGTTGAAACAGAACCTAACGATAAAATATTAATTCCAAGAAAACCAACACCTTCTAAAACCAGTACTCAGTCAACTCAATCTTCCTTACAGAGCTCAATGTCATCATCTAAAAAAAATGAAAAAAAGAAATCAAATAAAAAGGATACAGTTAAATCAGACAGTTGGGGCGGTGAATCTGTCTGGGATCTTCCCAGTGACATATTTGATTCTTCCATCTCCAATAGTCCTCCTTCATCTGCATCTAATAAAACTAGTTTATCTTCTGCATCTAGTACAAAGTCTTCTAAAGCCCCGTCTCCTCTTCGTTCTCCAGAACAGAAGGATGTCCCAAAGAAGCCAGCAAATACATCCTCTCAGAAGTCTTCTGATTCGAGGTCGCGGGGTAGGGGTCGAGGCGGAGTAAAACCAGCTGCGCATGGTCCTGGAGATCGACGACTCTCCTCACACAACAGATTTTCAACACTTAACGACGAATCAGAAATGGAAATCGAAAGTGTTCCGCCACCCGAAAGATTACAATCTCGGTGAGCGAAATAAGAATGCTGGCAAACTCGATAGCATTCGCACGTCTATTAACAAAACATGACTACTATCATCCAATGGAATTGCCGAGGTCTTAAAATAAATCTTCTCGAGTTAACGCTTCTAGTTCAGTCTTTTTTACCTACTGCATTTTGTCTTCAAGAAACTCATTTAAAAGAAAGTGACAATGTATCTTTAAAAGGATACAACATGTATAGCACATTTTCTAAGGTAGATGAACGTGCTGCAGGCGGATCATCCATTTTTGTGAAGGACAGCGTCATTCATAGCACAGTCCAACTCACCACGGATCTGCAGGCAGTTGCAATTCGTTTATCATTAGATAAAACAATTACATTATGTTCTATATATATTCCACCCAATTCAATTATCGATAAAGCTAAACTCAAAAACCTCACTGATCAATTACCCTCACCATTTATACTTATGGGCGACTTCAATGCACACAACCCCTTGTGGGGAAGCAAGTCTCATAATATCAAAGGTAAGATCATTGAGGACTTTGTCTCTCAAGAAGGATTATGCATTTTTTAATGATGGATCTAATACTTATCTTCATCCTGGAAACGGGTCTTATTCTGCTATTGATATCACTATTTGCGATCCCTCTCTTCTTCTGGATTATTCATGGCGTGTTCATGATGATCTATGTGGAAGTGATCACTTTCCAATAGTACTTGAACATCTTTTTACTTCTGCCCAACAGAGAGTACCACGTTGGAAACTTGACAAGGCGGACTGGTCCTTGTTTGAGAATCTCTGTCAAGCGGAACTTCAGTCAAAGATGTTTGAGACTGTACAAGATCCCATTTTAACTTTTAATACAGTTTTAACGTCAATTGCTGACAGAACTATTCCTAAGACCTCGGCAAATCCGAAACATCCCAGCAAACCATGGTTTGATGATGCTTGTGATCAAGCAAAAGGTGACCGTAAAAAATCTGAAAGACGGTTCAATCAACAACCAACGACGGAAAACTTGAGTAATTTCCGTGTTTTTCGCGCTAAGGCACGGCGGACTTGCAGGCAAGCACGACGAACGTCTTAGAAGAAATTTGTCTCGGAGATAACATCTCGCACTCCGATGACAAAAGTATGGAACATGATACAAAAGATAAAAGGTAAAAATTCTAAAGCCACAGTTAAACATTTAAAAAATGGCAATGATTTATTAACATCTGAAAAGGATATTGCCAACAAGCTTGGTGAAACTTTTGCGAAATCTTCTTCTTCTAACAACTACAGGGAAGATTTTAAAAAAGTTAAAAAACAAAAAGAAAAAATTAAATTAAACTTTAAATCAAAAAATGGTGAAAATTATAATAAACTCTTTTCTCTTGAAGAACTTAAAACATCTCTGTCAAAAGCCCATGATACAGCTTGTGGGCCTGATAATATTCACTACCAACTGTTAAAACACTTGCCAGATTCCTCGCTGGAAGCTCTTTTGCAGCTTATGAATAACATCTGGGAATCTGGTGATTTACCATCAATCTGGAAGCTTGCAACCGTCGTGCCTATTCCAAAACCAAGTAAAGATCACACGGATCCTATTAATTATCGGCCAATTGCTCTTACCAGTTGTGTCTGTAAAACACTAGAACGGATGGTCAATGATCGCCTTGTTTGGTTCCTGGAATCAAATGGGCTTTTAGCCAATATCCAGTGTGGATTCCGCCAAGGTCGCAGTACTCTTGACCATCTTGTTCGATTCGAATCATTTGTCCGTAATGGTTTTGCGAAAAATGAACATGTAGTGTCGGTCTTTTTCGATCAAGAAAAAGCCTATGATACTGCATGGAAGTATGGTATTTTAAAAGATCTCTTTGATATGGGGTTGAAAGGCAATATGCCAAATTTTATTTCGAATTTTCTATCTAACAGACAAGTTAATGTTAGAGTAAATTCAACCATGTCTGATCTGTATGATCAAGAGATGGGTGTCCCTCAGGGCAGTATTTTATCTGTTACATTATTTAGTCTTAAAATCAACAGCCTTGTTGAAGTTTTAAAAAGTAATATTGAAGGTTCATTGTATGTTGATGACTTTTTAATATGTTATAGAGGCAAAAATATGAATAACATAGAAAGACAATTACAGTTATGTCTTGGAAGAATTGAAAAATGGGCCTCGGAAAATGGGTTTAAATTTTCCACTTCAAAAACGATCGGGATGCATTTTTGTAACAAAAGGCAATTGCATCTTGATCCAGAACTCACTTTGTACGGCAACCCAATTAAAATGGTTGATGAAACCAAATTTCTTGGGTTAATTTTCGATAAAAAGTTAACCTTTCTACCCCATATCAAAATGTTAAAATCGAAATGTTTAAAAGCATTAGATATTTTAAAAGTTGTCGGCAGCACCGACTGGGGTGCTGATCGCAACATTTTACTTAATTTATATAGATCTCTAGTTAGATCTAAACTAGATTATGGCTCTATAGTGTATGGCTCTGCGAGGAAGTCCTACATACAGATTCTCGATGCTGTGCATCATCAGGGTTTGCGTCTCTGTCTTGGCGCATTTAAAACCTCACCAGTTGAGAGTCTGTATGTAGAGGCTGATGCGCACTCACTCTCTAACAGACGTTTGAAGCTTGGACTTCAATATGCTGTCAAACTAAAAGCCTACTCAGATAATCCTGCCTACAGCTGTGTTTTTAATCCAATTTATGAAGATATTTTTGCAAAACATGAAAATAAAATTCCTCCGTTAGGTATACGTTTAAAATCACATTTAGCTTCTTTTGATTTAAAATCTGTTGCTCAAGTTGAAACTTGCAAATGTCCTCCATGGGAACTTCCCAAACCAAAAATGATATTTGATCTCCGTGAACACAATAAAAATAAAACAAATCCTCTTTTAATTCAGCAACACTATGCTGAAATCAAAGCCAATTATTCAGATTTTTCAACTGTCTATACTGATGGATCAAAAGATGGTGACAGAGTTGCATCTGCTGCTGTCTTCAGGGACAGAGCTGCAACTCTCCGTTTGCCATCTGAAGCATCGATCTTTACTGCTGAAGCAGAAGCAATAATTTTGGCTTTGAAATTTATTGCTTCTTCAGATAAATCCAAATTTATTATATGTTCTGATTCACTTTCATGCTTACAAGCTATACAAAATACTAAAATTAAAAACCCAACAATTCTCAAAATTTTATATGTAATGAGGAATTTAAAAATTCTTCTTAAAGAAATATTATTTCTATGGGTGCCGAGTCATGTTGGAATCCTTGGAAACACAGCTGTAGACCTTGAGGCAAAGAATGCCCTGGGTGACCCTTTATCTAACTGTGATATACCATATACCGATTTTAAATCTAATATTAGAGAATATGTTTTTAATATATTGAAAAATGAATGGAGTAAAAAAGATGGTAATAAATTACATGAAATTAAACCTAATTTATGTAAACCTTTCAATAATTTTATGTGCAGAAAAGATCAGTGTGTTATTTCTAGATGTCGTATTGGTCATACTAGAATAACACACGAATATCTTTTAAAAAATGAAGTAGAACCACAATGTATACCTTGTAACTGCAAGTATACTATTAAACATGATTTAATCAATTGTATTGACTTTGCTGATATTCGGAAGAAGCATTTCAATGTCAATAATATGTATGATTTATTTAATAATATTCCATTTACAAATATTGTTTCATTCTTAAAAGAAATTGGAATATATTATAAAATATAAAAATGTTGTTATATTTAAAACGATTTTAGTTTTTATCACGTTATCTTAGTGTTGATTTTTATTTGTAAATAATCAATTTGCTTTAGTCTAGAATTTTAGTTTATTGAAAGACCTTTTGTCTGATTTTAAAAAATTTACCTTAAATTGTTATAATATTCGAATTAGCTCTCGCCGCGATATAGCCTTTCTGTGCTAATGCGGCGTAAAGCAAACAACAATCAATCAATCAATCAATCTTAAAGAAATATTATTTCTATGGGTGCCGAGTCATGTTGGAATCCTTGGAAACACAGCTGTAGACCTTGAGGCAAAGAATGCCCTGGGTGACCCTTAATCTAACTGTGATATACCATATACCGATTTTAAATCTAATATTAGAGAATATGTTTTTAATATATTGAAAAATGAATGGAGTAAAATTTTTGCTTTCTAAATGTTTAAAACAAAACAAAAAATCATATTTCGAGGTCAACTTGGTTGCTAATGCCCCTTTAATTATGATGAACATTGCATTGACAATCGGCTGTTTGTTTATTTTTTCATTTTAAGTATGACCACTATGAACTATGCGGTTGGTCGAGATGTCGATTTGGGTGTCAATTTACATTGGCTGTGTTACTGTAATTATTCAAAAATGTCGTTTGGTATTCCCAGACGAACTGACCAATTGCTTATTAAGGGTGATAATTTAGATCAAAAATTCATGAAAGATAATTTGTCAATTACAGGTCAACTGATGAGGTTTTTAGGACCAAAGATGGAAAAACTGGAAAAAAAGATGAATGGTCCAAGAAGTTAAGTAGTTATGAACCAAGGTAATGGTACCTATAATTGATAAACATGTCGGTTCAAAAAGGTATTTGGCACTTTTAAACTTTTGTGCAGCTAAAAAGTATTGCATATGTTCTTGTTCATGCAAGTCTCGATTCTTTCACAACACATCCTTTTTAGAGAATCTGGGATCCAGTATTAAAAGTTTTTAACTGGAGTTATTGCTTTAAATGAGGCAGTTGCACTGTCAATATTCTATTGGCTGTATCAAGAAGTGATCTTTTATTACAAAAAAAAAAGAATTAAATTAGTATCCTGCATGTGTTTCACATATTTTTATTTCTTGACAGTAAATATGAAACGATCAGGGTTGGCAAAAACCTGGGTGTTATGAGTATTGCCCAGCCCAGTGGGAAATACTGGGAAAACCCGGGTTTTACTGGGTTTTACTGGGCAATACTGGGTAATAAGAAATACTGGCCTGAATCTTTAAAATGATTGATCAATGATTAATTACAAATGCAATATATAAAAGATATTATTTGACATAATATTTAGTTTATAAGTTCACTTGTTTGAGACTAATTATAAAGTGTATAAATTTGAGAAAGTTTTGGTCAAGCAACTCAATACACACATGTTTTTCTCATTGACAAAGGCTGTATGGTGGTCTATACTTGCTTACATCCACCTCATTTGGATTTTGGGGATAGTTGTCTAATTGGCAATCATACTATATCACCTTATTTTTCAATGAACACACAGACAAATTTGAAAAGTTTTCTCAATAAGATTTATAGGATGATCTTAATAATCCTAAATATTTATCAAATTGCCATTCTGTCTAAATTGGTCTTACTGCTTATAACATGAAACCAAATAATTTGATTTGTTTGTTTTTTTAATATTTATTATGTTAAGAGAATAAATTAATTATATGTAAGGAAAATCACTATTCAACAATTTTTGTTCATTGCTAAAAAGTGTTTACACAAATTGACAATTTCAGCTTACTTACAAGTACATCACTAATTAATAATTATTCAGATTATAACACAGATTTGTTTATATTACAATATTTAACCTTTTCATCTCTTACAAGTGTGGGTGACATGTTGCCTTAGGGTGTTTATTTAGCAGTATGAATTTAAAGCAATTAAATTTTCAATTCACTAATACACTTCACAAAAATGCATTTTTTCAAACTTTGGATTCATTCAAACAAAGCTTGGAAATAAACAAGGTATCCAGAAATGGACAAAACTTAATTGTATTCTGCTTATATAGAATTATTATAGACGAGGAAATTGAATTTTTTATCCTCTGAAAAGGACTCTCAATGTTTATTTGTATAAAATGTATCTATTTAGCAATAATACTATGAAACTACAATATATATTTACTATTTTGTGTGAAAATAAGCTAAAAAAATCATATTGCCAAGTATTACCCATTTCTGGGGTATTGCGTATTGCCCAGCCCGGGAAAATTGGGAATTCCCACCCGGGTTTTCCCGCCCGGGTAATACTATGCCAACCCTGGAAACGATGCATAATGTATATTTTTATTAAATCTCTATCCATAACAGTGCTTTTATATATACATGTATGCAAAGGGTGCCCTTAAAGTGTAGCCAATCACTTTAAGAGTGCCCTCTGAAAAATATTACCCTACCCTTTTCCAAAGCTCCAGGAAACGAGAGAGTTGGCTCCCTCGAGGATGTTGGTTGCCAAATCTTTTATATCTAATGTCCTTGAAAAATTTAGAAGAGACTTTTTGCCCTATCTAATAAGAATTTTAATTGATTGAACAAATTATGTTGAAAATTTTTAGGAACTAAAATGTGGATAGTGCAACCTAAATGTGACCGACTTTACGAGAGCAAACAGATTTGGCTTCAGCACCATGATTAGAACTTGAAACCGTAAAGGACATAAAATGACTTCGAAAGTAAACTTACAATGTGTGTGACTTCACCATTGTTGACCCGGCATTTGATGAGTGTCCCCTCAGTAAAATTTGTTGGGAAAAGCCGTCTCAATGTGTCCTCAGATAGGGTGTATATGCCTCCATCTTCTATATATATTGATTGGTCACCGCTGAAAAAAAGTAACAAGACTTCTTACAACATGTCTTTAATCTTATTTTTTTTTCTGGACCTCTTTTCAGTAAGGCATTTATAAACTTTTTTAGGAGATATGAACGTTGGGTTATGTCTCTGAGACCTAACATTGTGGACATCTCATTAATCTACATTGTATTTAATATTAAAGATACAAATAGGAGATATTATATTTAAGATAAAAATAGATTATGTATAATTATCATAGCTTTACTACCTAGATGTCCAGTACATTTAAAAATATTTGTTTACAAATACATTTTACCAACCCTATTTTTCTGTACCAGCTGGAAAACAGACGGGAAAGTGTTTTGGTTTAATGTAATAATTACCTTAAGAAGGAAGCCCCAATAATTCTCCCTTCTACCGTCTCCTCAAATTCTGTGTCATTCTGCAATATAATTGAATTTAATTTGGATTGACCAATAACACCTCGGCCTGTGGTAATAAGCCTCCACATATATTTGTGATCTAGTATAAACCTTCATATAAATTTCAAAATTAAAATTGAATTGAAAACATTTTTTCTGTCTTTATCTTCAGTGTTTGGTTTAGTTTAATTAAGTTAACATTTGTAATTAAAAGCAGAGATCCATTATATATATTTAGCCAAATGGCTTAATGCTATTAAATTTTAGCTGAAAATATGTTAAGTATGTGTATTAATCATTCATATTGATTCAGGTTGTGTGCCCCTGGGAGACAAATGTTGTTTTTTCTTTACATTCATTGCATTTTTAACGATTGAAATAAAATGTGCAAATGATTGAAAGTTATAATTTCAACTTCAAATAAGTCTTGGGTTACCAAATCTGAACAGTCTTGAGTCTTGAGCAATATGACCATGCCACATGTAGACAGGATCTGCTCAAACTTCTGAAGTAGAATGTAACCAAGATCCCCCCAGTTTTTTGTGGGGTTAGTTTTTCCGAGTTTTATTTCTATACAGTGTTATGTCAATGACTATCCCTTTAGCATCTTGATCTTTTTTTTAAAGATGCAAAGTAGTATTTTTGTAGATATTTATCATTTTAAACATCAGTAAAAAGTAATTTGTTCTTAAAATATATATACTTGGTAAGTGAAATTTTTTGATCATTTGAAAAATATTACATTTATTATAAAATGTTTGTTTTTTCTATACATTTTGTAGGAGTGGAAATCTTAAAAAATCAAGCTCACCATAATGTTAGTATCACACATGGAATTGAGGAAGATGGATCCTCTGTATTCAGCTATCTTGATGTTTTTTACGACAACCTTGTCAGCCACTGTGAATGCATTGGTGAGGTTTGCCTTCTCCCGCCAAAGTTTTATCTTCAGAGACCTGGGTCTCAGGATGGTGTTTGAGACCCTCAGAGCTCTATAAGTGTTCTCAGTCGTAGCATCCGATGGTTCAACCTCTTATGGAATCTATTTTATGATAAATAAACAATGTAAGTTTTATATGCATGTCTATCTTGTATTATTTATAAAATAATTGAAGATTTCAAATATAAAAAAATATTTAACCAATGACTGCAGTGTTGGTCACAAGTTTAGTATTCTATTGCAACCAATGAAAGGGCGGTTATAGAAAGTTCCTACTCTGGGGCACCACCTCTATTGTTCATTTACTTTCAAATACGACAACTGGGGTGTAGGGCACATGGTATTTTCTGGAACAGCCGTAATAATATTAGGCGTTTTAGTACATTTTATATCTTTTAGAAATTTATAAACTCTTTAGGTTGAATAATAATAGACTTGTTATTAGTTTTAATGTCAAGTTAAGCACTTTGAGCTATCATACCAATGACTTTTTAATGATTTAATCTGGAGAATGGAAAATTTCTATCATTCAGGATGAAAACTGCCATTGAAAATCTATGTAGATTTTTTATCAAAGATGGACACACCTATCACAAGTGTGGTTGAACATGTTAGTTCAGTGTTGACAGTCAGACTATAGTCCAAAATTGGTCTGACAGCCTTTTCATAAGCCCATTTACAGGACGTATTATGGTATACTGTTGTCCATCTGTCTGTCTGTCCGTTGTCAACATGTTGGACAATAACTCAAAAACGCTTAAACCAATTTGCATGAAACTTTGGTGTGGTGAATTGTGGTGAATTGTTTATATCTATTGACATGAGCTCCCTTTTTTTTTTATAAATTTTAGATTTTACGTTTCTGAGTTGTGGGGTTTTATTCATTAAAAAAAGGGGATTTTCCAGTTTTCGGAGAATAACTCGAAAATGCTTTGAGCCGTTTTCATGAAACTTTGGTAAATCGTCTATATTGACGTAAGCTCTCTTTCCATTTTTATAAATTTTAGATTTTACGTTATCAAGTTATGGGATTTTATTCATAAAAAAGGAGGGATTTTAGAGTTTTCGGACAATAAATCGAAAGAACTTTGAGTAGTTTTCATGAAACTTTGGTGACTGGTTTATATCTATTAAATTAAACTCCCTTTAGTTTTTTTTTTATAAATTTCTGATATGACATTGAGGAGTTACGGAACTTTATTCTTTGAAAAAGGGACAGGCGTATCATGCGCTGATGGCACAGTTCTTTATTAGGACTTGCTGATGCATTTGCATGTCAGAAGCACAGTCCTTAAAGAAAATAAGTACATTAATGAAACATTTGTTTCCTTATTTATTTTGTCCATAAATATATAATTTGTCCATGGATGTACCAAGACCTTTAAAAGTGAAGGGCATCAAAAACAAATTTTGTGAATTTTATAGATTTTAATGTTGAAAATGAGCAGATTTAATGTTTTCAATAAAAATTACTTGAAACAAATAAAACAATAGACATAAATAACCATGATAACCATAGTTTTGAATTGATATTTATATGAAGTTCTCCCACTTGTGTTACAATACCCAACTAGAGAAGCCATCTTAACAGAACAACTTTTGTCTAGGTGGCTGTCAGTGGAAGTTTATTATTTTTGGAGTTGTCATTCTTTGTACATAATTGCCGTTGAACTGTCTTTCTGTGTACATAATTGCCGTTGAATTAACTACAATTATGGACACCGGTCGATCTCAATTTCAAAATATTTACTTCCCACTGTCAATGCGTTTTTTACACTTCAGTGGTCACAAAGCAAGATTTCAAACTCCAGTCTTAATATTTGGAGAGATTTAAACCTATAAATGGGTAATAAAATTTTCCAAAGATATAGATGCATAGGCTTTTCATTTATTTATTCGTAGGTCAAAAATGTCTATAGGTAGATTAACACTAGATAAAGAGAAGATCAACAAAATGGTCCATGTTTTTTTTTTTTTTTTGTGTAAAGGGGGGGGGGGGGGGGTTACATGGGGTAGATTGCTTTATGCAATCAAAACCCTTATGGGGTTGACTTATCATAATCGATATTCCACAGTTCATCACCACTTTTGAAATAAAATTAAAAAAACTGCATTTATTACAAGCTTATACATGAACATTTCAAAAAATACTAATGATACTATGTTGTGACTTGTATCTGTTTAAAAATACTAATGAATTCATTCATTGCAATCTTTAAAGTTTGTAAGTGGAATAAGTAGGAAAAAAACTTACTCTTTAAATTTCTCCTCTAACAGAGAGCCTAGTTCCAACCGGTATGGTGCATACATTGCTGGCCTCAACCACTGGTGGACTGAGAAAGTTGTCTATTACATCCTGGTATTGGTTGATAGCAAATGGTGCTGAATCAAAGCACTAAATAAAAAGAATGAATTACTTAAGATGTAATGTAAATTTTTTTTATTTTATTTTTTCACATGATATTTTATCTATATTTTAACATTTATGTGCAGGAACACATGGTATTTATCTTTTCTTATGATTTTTTTTTTCAATTGATGTTATTTTTCTTATGTACAGGAACAAATTGTTCTTAAAGATTACTTGATTGGGTTTCTTTTATTTACAATATATATATTTTTCACTTCTTAACTGGTTTAAAAAAATTTTTTTTATAATTTATCAATTTATTTTATTGTAAAAATTTTTGTGGATGAACAACATCCTGATAACGTAAAATAAATAAAACATCAACCTGCACCAGAGATGGGAGACATCTATGCATTTTAAAGTACTCCCATCTCTGGTGCAGGTTGATGTTTTTATTTTTGTGTAGCATGTTCAAAATGTTTGGATGAGGAATATCCAGTATTTTTTAAAATTTAATACTGATCTGGTAATATTATAAGTCATGAAGTATTACATGTATGATAGGGTCACAAGACTCGAAACCGTGATTTAGGTGTGCGATACAGACTTGAGAGCCTCTAATTTATAATGCCCCAAAAAAGTTTTTTATTTATATCTAGGAAAAGGATTTCCTCTTAATATTTACATTGTAAATGACATATTAACCAGACCACGAGACAGTAATGACACTCATTTTATGTTTTATTTATTTTGCCATAAAGGTAAAGGAATGCCTGTCTTAATATTTAAGTCATATACTTACCAGACCATGAGACGGTAATGACAACTTTTCTTCGTTCAATCTGAACTTCTTCAGCAGTTTAAATTCACGTCTGTTAATGGTAAACTTGGTGTCGTATTGGAGCTCCATGATTCTCCCACTTTCTGTCAGGATGAAATTTACCTTGTAATGCCCCCTACACTCCTCTTCTAATAATGCAAAAACGTGCATAACATCAAGTTCCTGAAACATTAAAAGACATAAAATAAGTTGTTTATTAATTTTTTAGGTGCCAACAGAAGTTTGGAGACATTTTATTTTTACTTTTTTCAAAAAAGTTATGTTTTAAATGTAGTACTATGCAAGTTTCTTTTTGAACTCAATTTTTACAGTTGTCCTTTCGTATATTTTTTGCCTTAAATTTTCTAAATGATTTTTCTTTAAAATAATCAACAGAAACAATTGTAGGTAGAAACTGTTTATGTAGCAAATTTGATCTTTAATCTGAATATTTTGGTTGACTCCCAAGTAGCCCTTGAATGACTGATATTATTATTGGACAGACATAATTTTGAAAGTTTCATTTACTATTTCTCATGTTTAATTGATTATATTTGACCAATTTGTAGGGCTTATAATAAAATACCTGGGTTTCCACCGACTTGGTGAAAAAATTTTTAGTAAAAGGGTATTTTTTTAAGTTTTAAACTAGGAGAAAAGTCGTGTTTGTTCAAACTGACAATGATCTTTAGGGATTTTCATTAGAAATAATGGTAGATAATCAGAAACAAGTAATTTTTTATTTGGCGTCTTCGTTTTCAACCAATGTTTTGAAAGGTATATGTGTAGTTTAGATTAAAACTTTGAAAAGTAAAAATGATTGGCTACACAAAATCTCCAAATAAGTGAATATGAATGAAATTGTCCGAGTTGTTGCCCTTTTAATACCAATATCAATCTGTTTCCTTCATTTTTGCCATTTTACCAATAACCCATCTCATTCATTTTTGTTTGTTTTTTAAATTCAGAGGGAAATAATTGTGCATGTGTTATTTCGATTTCAGAAAAAGGCTGAATCGAAAAATGCCGTCAAAGTTTAAAGTATTAGTTTTTTTTATTTTCAATTTATAACATTTTGCAATTCTCAAAATTTCATAATCATTATCTTAAGGATGTACAACTCTGAGGAGCCAAACATTTCTAGAATTAAACTTTTTTCTTAAAACCTGATTTTTGGGTTTATATGACTTGATGAAGAAAAAATAATATGGTGGTGCACTTCTTTTTTTGCTACAGCCATTTGAAAGTACCCCATTTTTAATGATTTTCCCATTTTTCATCAATTTTTACCCATTTTTGGGCTATTATCATGAAAAAAAAAAACAGTTTCACAATTAAAACTTTTTTTCATACTTTCACTAAAGATGAAGTGGACCAATCTAAATAAATTTAACTTAAAAAAACTATGGGTTGGTGTTAATATTAGAAAGTTTTATGAAATTTTGTTGCTTTTTCGTGTCAAATTGACAGCATTTCTTCTTCTTTTTTTTTAGAACAAAATGCGTATTATTTCAACTTCTTTTTTATAAATGATTGAAAAAATACATATCTAAGAATTTTGAAAAGAAAAAATTGTTATGGGATGTACATATTTTTAGTAAAATCATTTCTTTGTACCCCTCACCCATTTTCTCAATATTTTGGCTGATGACACTGACCGGATTGGTTATAAAATTTGAAAATTTCATTACTCAAACTACTTATTGTAAATACAAAAATTCACAGAGTTTAGTTTGATTATAATATTTATAATTCATTGATATTTTCTACTTGTATCACGTTTTGGAAATAATTCCTGAACGAGACTGAAACAGAAGAAGAATACATCCTTAAAAACTGTAATGGATATATAGAAACTTGGATAAGTAAAGATTATTAGCAAAAGACAAAATGTTGGTCCAGTTTTAATTCAGCACATTTCAATGCTTTATATAAATTTTTCCAAAAATGGCAGGTTGGGGATGTAGACTTTTGGGCTTTTAGTTTAGAAACTTTATCATGTAGCCATCATAATGCAATGAACTTGGTATAAAATATGATTAAACTTTGGTGAAGGTTCTGACATTCAATTTTTAGAAGATCTTTTTCACTTACAGAAATTTTGTTGTGAAATTGAAAGTGAATCCTTATGCTTATATCAGACTTCAAGATAAACTTTTAGCAGCTACAGACCTGATGCTAATTTTTTTTTTTAATTTAGAAAAGATTCTCTTGACATGCAATAGAAATATTAATTCTAACCAGCCTGATAAAAATATTACAAGTCAAATATGGTGGGCATATGGCAAATCAAAGTGTAATAAGCATGCAATTGAGTAACTTTAGGTTACCAAATGTTTGTGTCAACTTTGCAGGGAATTATTATCCCCACCCCCTGTTTAATAAATTTCTTTAAATTCACATCGTAAATGCTGTTTTGTTAACTGATTTCACCATCAATATATAATGCAGGCATATATATGGATATTGTATTTTTTTAAATTTGAAATTAAGCATGTATTCCTTATATTTTATTTTAATTGTCCAAATTTTTTTTAATGTATGTGGATAAGTGGTATTACAATTGCTTACAATATTAGAGGAGTATTATATTTTCTGTTCTTAATTTATTCATCCAGTTATAAAAAAAATTGTAACTAATGTATGGCAGTTTATATATTGGAGTTGTGATCCCATCTGCTTAAAACCAAATGCAGATGTTAATTATGATGTGCACTTTTTAAATTGTAAACCAAATAACAGATTTCACCGATTTTATTGAATGTGGAAATGACAAGTATATTCTCAGATTACATTTTTTGATTTAGAAGTTGTGGTAATATCAACTTGAAATTTAATACACATTATGATGACAATTTAAAATTATATACCAAATTATGGTTTGGATCATACAAGTGGGCAAATTATTGTAAAAATATCAAGTATTGACATTTATTGTAAATGTGATTTTTTTATATTGATAATAAAGTACTTTAATTTGCTGATATTGTTAGTATAACTTCTTTCAGGCATTAATCTATTTCAATGAAAATATTAAATATAAAATGGAAAAACGGGTAGAAGGTAAGGAAGTGGTTTCACTTGAGGAGATTTGAAAATAGAGAAACCATGGAATGAACATGATGAAACTTTTGGTAGTATATCTAATGGGATATATAAAAATTTCTTGTCTTAGATTTATGAAATTTATTGCAGGTAATACAAAACTGGTTTATCTCTAGTTTTTAATGGGATGCATCTTTTTACAGGTGGAATTAAATGAACATTTAAATCGATCCTTTGGATAAAAAAATCACTTTCGATGGAAATTAATGAAAACACGCTATAAATTTCACGCTTCAAATCTTGAGACATCATTTTTGTGGAAGGATAATCAACGAAATTTAATATTTAGATTACCCAATTCAAAATTCTGGTAAAAACGTAGTTGGTTTAAGGAACCGCTTTGTTTTTTAGGACAATAAAAATCGATAAGTAGAATTTGCAATTTCAAAGAAGATTTTCCATTTCAAATTTTGTTTGCCTCTTTGACCCTTAAGGAAACAAAATGCCTATAGATTGTAAAATAGTCGAAAACACCTTCAGAATGAGTCAATTTACGAGAATTGATAACCTAAGAAAGTGAATTGCTTTGCTTACATCAGACTTAATTGTTTATGCGTCTCCCAAAATGTGCCATTAAGGCTTTTGTTGATATTTCGGGTTTGTATACAGCTTTGATATGCCAATAAATGTGAAATAAATGTATTTTATCGTTTGCAAATCGGAACAGTTTACGTAATGTCTATTCAATAATCATTATTGGTAAATGCACCCAGGCAGAAAAACAGGTATATTATTATATCATTATGACTTGGATGGAGAGTTTTCTCATTGGCACTCATACCTCATCTTATTTATATATATTATTAAAGGGCTAAATTAAGAACAAAGGGTAAAACGGGGGCAGATATCATAATTCGAGATTTGTTGCAACGTTCTTAAGTTTAGTATGGCCTACACGTTGGTTCTTTTTAATTTCAGTTTATTTTCACACTGCCAAATTATATTTCCCATGTTTTCTGCTAAATCTAGATTTTACAACTTTTCACTCTTGTTAAAGACTATCAAATTTTTATATTTTTAGAGGGGTATATTGTTGAAAATTCGTTTTCCGGTAGAATAAAAAAAATATTTTCGCAACGAAAAACTACCTTCACCAAAGACTAACAGAACATAGAAAACTTAAAATTCATTCGACATACATGTACGACCGGAACTTAAAAAAATAAGCAGGAGATAATATTCATTGTACTCTGCCCGAATATTCATGAAAACTGCACATGAA